AAATTTTAAAACTGAAAACTACCTGGGATCATAGTGTTTCTATGATTTTATTTAATTATGTATAGTAATTATCCAGTGCCAGAAAAACCGTCACTTGCAAAATACTTTGCACTCAAAATGTTTTTACGATGCTTCTAATTGTTAGTGGTTTCTGCTTTCTTTTGACTACTTGACTTACAAAATGATCTGACTACTCCATTTAAGAGCAAAGGTAACGCATGTTTAAGTAATTAACTGCTTGTTTTAAGTGATTATGATATTTCTTCCACTGTTTTTGAAAAATAACAATCATGGATAGCATTCATTGCGAGACAGTGACATATAATTTACTACATATATTGATTTTTAAATAAAGTTGCCTTAAATAACTGTATATAAACAGTAGTAGTTGCTATGTACTGATTTACCTCAAGGTGCAAAATAATTAAACCTGTACATACTCCATTTACGAAATGAATTCAGATAACAGCCCTGCACTTTCTTTAGATGCCTTGATTTCCAGAATGGAGCTTAGTGCTACTGAGTACCCTGGCCACAGAGCCACCTCAGGATATTCTTTTCTTCGCCCTAGTTTATTTATTTATAGATACCTGTTTACAAAGTCTGTAGTAAATCCTGATGCTGATCATCTGAAATGTACTTTTTTTCCTGAATGCTGTTTCAATCTAAAATAGCAGCTTTTGAGAAAACAATGAACTAAATTCCTTATGATGAAAGGATGATTCTATATGTTCTTTAATAATATTACATATGCCGAAGCGAAGCACACAGTCTTTCTAAAGTGTGTGTGTGTTTGTGTGAATGTGAATGATACTGATCTTAAATCTGTTAAAAGTTGTTTTAAAAAGCTGTGGCATACCATTGTTCATATTTGCCAAGTCTTCTGTAAAGATGTTTAACACAAAATATTTTATGTGCGGATGCATCTATTTGTAAAGCAGATTTGTTTATCACTCAAAATTAATTTGTTTTCTTCATCCAAAAAAAGTTTATTTCTTCCACATACTTAAATTTTCTGTGTGAGTATAATAGCTTTCTAATTTTTTTCTTTCACAAAAGCAGGTTCAAAATTCTGTTGAAAGAAAAATGCTTTCTGAAACTGAGGTATAACACCAGAGCTTGCTGTTTAAAGGATTATGTGATGTACATCAGTTCTGTAAATGTGCTCAGCAGTTTAACATGTGAATCCTGTTTTACAGTGCTCAGATTTCAAATGTGTAAGCCATTGTTAAAAACCTTGTAATTAAAAATGTTTATATGAAATAACTTAATGTTTTAAATGTATTTATGTAGATCACATCATTTTTATCAAATGCAATGCAAATATGTGGAAATATTTTGGTTTATTCCAACAATTATTTATTTTAGAAAGTCAATTTAAAGACTTTAAGGACATTCAAAGTTTAAAATAGTGTTCAAATTGCAAAATTTGGCAATCTTAATATAAATTGATCTCTTTTCTAATTTTTCAAAAAGTAACATTAAGTGTTGATTATAGGAAAACATAGTGGGAAATGTAATAATCCAAAGATCATTTTTACAATGAAATTTAATTAGCATATATTGACTTCAACATTTGACTTAGAGTAATTGTTAAACCTCAGTTTTGTTTTGTTTTTTTAAATCAGATTTTTGCACACTGATTAGTTTTTGTGTTATGCCTTTTCTTTTGTTGTATTATTCAAGGGTTCTTTTTTCCCTCCATGGGGGAGATTGTCTTCCAGTGTTTACTATGTTTAAATAAATAAAAACTGAATTTTATTGTTCATTTATATAAAATTTGATATCTTGATGTAATTTCACAGTACAGTTTCACTTTTTATGGCTTTTATAATTACAATGATATTTTCTTCTATAATAAAATCCAAAGTAAATTAAACGTTTAAATTGTAGAACTGATATTTTTCATTTATATGAAGTAAAAGCCTCTACCAGGTCTATAATGTGAATGATCCTGCCTTTCAAATTTGTTTCATAATTGTTAGATGAAAACTATTTTCTTTTTGGAGATGTTATGAAGTTGATTGAGCAATAAAAGTCTACTGAATTAGTTGTTGGCTGTTGTTTCTACTTCGAACTCTGATTATTAGAAGAGCCACATTTTCTTTCTCAGCTTGAGATGGGATAGAAAAGGAAGGAAAATGAGTGATGTCTGTTTCTTGCCCCCTAATAGTTTTCAGTAGGAGAGAGAAAAGAAACAGTGAGAAAAAATAAAATAAAATAGTGTTTGTTTTACAAAGGTGTTTGATAGCTAAGAGATACTTGTAATTAAAGCTCTCTAAGAAATGGCTGGTCCATTTATTCCCCCGATTTTTACAAATCTTGCTGTGTGATATGTTATGATGTGCATGGTAATATTGAACTCTTGGGTACAGGACTTTCTTTGTTTTTAGTGACTAGTTTTATTATGAATTACTTCCCTTAACAGCAAATTACAGGTCTTGGTTTGTGTTTCATTTGGCATATGTGGAACACTTTCCTCCTGTGTTTTCTGCACTGAAAAACTTCTGATACCTCACCATGAATTTGATAGCCTTTGGAATAAGATGGAGATAGACACGCTTTTGGAAATTTCATTTGAAAATTTACGTTTATTTTAGGGGAAAAATTTTTTTTGGTAAATTTATAATTCCTGTCTCTAGACCCTGAGATTCTGTAAGCAGAGAGGGGGAAAGAGGAAGAGTGAGCTCTGTTTGATGCAGCCAATAAAGGCATATTTTATCTCTTGAATATCAGTTCTATTCTTGGTCTAGACCATTGGTCTAAAGGCATTTTATAAATTTTGGGAAGTGGTTTTATCTTCTTGAGTTGATCCTGAATATCTATTTAAATGCATATTTGTTACCTTTATTTGTTCTTTATGCTGCAGTTAAGACATTATGCTGTTTTACTTTCGAACTGTATAATTTACATTATGCTTTTCATTTTAAATAATAAAAGGCATTAGAAAACAAAAGAGGATGTTTTCATAGTTTTGAGCCCTGCTACATAAGCTATAAGCTTGGTGCAAGATCTCTTATGGGATTTTATTTTTTATGTCACAGAGGGACCCTTAACATTTGAGATGATAGTGCACTTCTCTTATAGAGCCAATGTCATTCTTGCCTCAATCTCTGCAGCTTTTAGGGAAGTTCAGAAATACTCTGGGGTGGCCAAAAAATTAGTTTAAGACTTTGATTTTACTGAGTACTAGAAAGATGGGAAGTACAATTGGTATTCTGGTGGAGATGTGAAGTTCAGTGGAGTCATGTCTTATTGCTTAATAATTATTTATTTTTTGAGACAGTCTTGCTGTGTCTCTCAGGCTGGAGTGTAGTGGGATGATATTGGCTCACTGCACTTCTGCTTCCTAGGTTCAAGCAATTCTTGTACCTCAGCCTCCTGAGTAGTACGGATTAGAGGCATGTACCACCATGCCCATTGATTTTTCTATTTTTAGTAGAAACAGGGTTTCACCATGATGGCCAACCTGGTCTCGAACTCCTGACCTCAAGTGATCCTCCTGCCTCAGCCTCCCGAAGTGCTGGAATTATAGGCATGAGCCACCAAGCCAGGCCGACTGCTTAATATTTGGAATGTATGTATAGAACACTTTTTCTACTCTGCATCAGTCTCCTTGCCCCTGTCACCTTGTTTTGCTTTATTGGTAACATAAATCCTGATGGTTTTATGTTCTCTGAAGTTTAATTAGTTCTGGTATACTCACTGGAGTTTGGGTTTTTCTGCATTACCAAAATAGGACTGTATTCATTTTAAAAAATGTTTTCAATTACACAAGCCTAAGTATTGTTACCCCAGTGGGCCTGCTTACTATCCAAACCAGAGAAGCATTAGGGTCACTGTATTCATTTAAAATCCAGTTTGGGGAGATTTAATCACCAGTGTTGACACACTCATGAGCATTTAGTGATACCAAGATGGGGTTGAATAGGGCCCAGTACTTGAAGAAATTGTCAAAGGAGCATCATTTTGCTTAAGACCAGACTCAAGTTGGTTCTACCCTGACTCCATCACTCACTACCTCTGCCATACTGGACTACTTAGGAAACTTCTTGTACCTCCATATTATAACTAAGTGAAATAAATAAGGAAAGAATTTGAAATGGTGCCCAGCACAAAATTGAGCACTCAATAAATTGGCAATTTTCATTTATTTTTATTTTTTTGAGATGGAGTCTCTCTCTGTTGCCAGGCTGGAGTGCAGTGGTGTGGTCTCAACTCATTGCAACCTCCACCTCTCGGGTTCAAGTGATTCTCGTGCCTCAGCCTCCTGAGTAGCTAGGATTACAGTTGTGCACCACCACGCCCAGCTAGTCTTTGTATTTTTAGTAGAGATGGGGTTTCACCACGTTGGCCAGGATGGTCTTGATCTGACCTCGTGATCCACCTGCCTCTGCCTCCCAAAGTGCTGGAATTACAGGCGTGAGCCACTGTGGACTGCCCATTGTTCATGTATTTCAAGTTACAGAATGTCAAGTATATTTTTAAAGCATTATCTAATGCAGTTCAGAAATCTGAAAGAAGCTTCAGACTTTCACAAAAGGTGAAGTGACTTGTCCAAGGCCACAAAATGAACTTTTGATAGTTGTACGGTACAGGTCTCTTGAATCCCAGGTCACTCTTATTTTTGTGAAAAATATGGTGCTATGGCACCATATTCTCATTGCCTGAGGCTTGAATAACTGAAGACGTTTTCATACCGTATGAAAGGTATTTAGCTTGTTGCATGGATTCTTTATCAAATTAAATCTTTGCTTTAAAAGAAAATTGATGTGATTTTTAGTCCATAGCAGTTCTTGAAAGTAAACACTCCAAGATGTTGCTGCCCTTTCCCATCACAGATTAGGCACCCTAAATCCAGAAAAATCTACAACGTTTAGGAGACCTGTTCTCAGTTAGCTCTAGGTTCCAGTGAAGTAGCTACAGCACAGCCTTCAGCATCACCTGCCTTCTCTTCTGCTTGCAAGCTTGGGGCTGGACCTCTCGCGTCTCTGGTTGCTACAGCGACTCCGTGGTAGGCGACATCCGTTGCTATGGCGCTCTGCACTGCGCAGCATGGCTGCTCCCGATTGGCTGAAGCGTCCCAGGGGGCGGGGGAAGAATTGTTGGCATTGGCCTGGCCAACGCCGGTTAGCGGCCTGGAGGAGGATTTGATTGGAAAACCAACGGTGTGGCTGGCCGCGGTGTCTCTGAGGTTGAGGGGACTGGGAATAGGCTGGGGGAGGACGGGACAGGCTGAGACTGGACGGGACCCTCGATATGCAACAGCAGGTGACAGCAGCAGGGACAATGAGAAGGACGGTTTGGAGACTGGCGGCGTAAGGAGGGACCATCCCTCCGGCGCGGTAAGTATGCGGTAGCCGGTGCTCGGCTGTGTGGGTGCCGCGAGGCTTGAGGCAGGGTCTCCGGGGGAGGTGTCCTCAGGGCCCTGTGGAGCGGCCCCGAAGCCTCGGGAGCCAGCTTCACTAGACAAGAGGCAGGGGCAGAGAATGCGGCTGTCCTAAGTGAGTCACTGCGTGAGGCAGTCTCTTTGAAGCAGGTGGGTTTGTGTTGGACGGATGGTTGGTGGGAAAGCGCCATCACCGATGCTTCATGGCGCTTCCATTTTGACAAAGCAATTATTCTGGTTAAATGGAGCCTGAATGTGTCTCTTCCAATCTGCTCTGACGCCTCTGGAGGTTCATTCCTCATCTCTATGAGTGTCGCTTTTTTGCCTTCTTACAGGATGCTTTGACTTTGCCCCTTTGCTTTTCTGCTCTTCCTCGGTGAGCCCTTCCACTTCCTCTCCTCAGGTACCATCTATCTGATGATAATTAGAAAGCCTCCACCTGGAACCTAGCCTGCTCCACTAAGCGTCAGACCCCAAAATCCAGCTGCCAAGTCAAAGCCACACATGTGCAACTCTGAACGCCATCTTCTCCACTTCTGCTACTGCTCTTGGATTCCCATTTTGGACCTCACTATCCATTCGGTTTTCAAAAACTACACTCTAGACAACATTCATGTCATGGCACTTACGGCTGCTTCCTCTGCATCTGTCAATTATCAAGACTATCCATTCTTAATAGATGTAGAATCAATTCCCACATCACTGTCTCTATTATTACTGTCTCAATTTCCACCGTCACTTGGTTAAATTCAACATCCATCTGGCTACTCTGATTCTTGTCCGGCCCTAATCCACTTTTTTTTCCCACCATTGTTAAACTGATTTTTTTTTTTTTTAAGACAGCCTTGCTCTATTCCCCAGGCTAGAGTGCAGTGGCACTATCTGGCTCACTGCAACCTCTGCCTTCAGGTTCAAGCAGTTCTCATGCCTCAACCTCTAGAGTAGCTGGGATTACTGGCGTGCGCCACTACAGCCAGCTAATTTTTGTATTTTTTTTAATAGAGAAGGGGGTTTCATGGTGTTGACCAGGCTGGTCTCGAACTCCTGATCTCAGGTGGATCTGCCCGCCTCAGCCTCCCAAGTGCTGGGATTACAGGAGTGAGCCACCGTGCCCGCCCGGCTAACCTGATCTTTTTAAAATGCATGTAATGGCATTTCCCTTCCCTGCTAAAAGTCCTGCAAAGATTCCCCATAACCCTAATCCAATCATTAGTTAGGCCTTCTATCAGGAGTTCCATCATGGTGATTCCCAGAAGATGTCACATTCTCTCCTGTGTAGCTATCTCACCTGTTGCTCACGTTGCCTGGAATGGACTCTTTTTTTTTGCACCCCCACACACCGGCTCTCACTTCCCGGTCATTCTCTGTGTGTTGCTTGATTACTTTACTCCTTCCTTCTCTAAACTGTCTCTGTGATGATAGAAGCCATTTTTGTCTCAGGCACTATTGGTATATATATATCCAGCGTTCAGCCCAGGACAAGACATAGTAACAGATGTTCAACAAATACTTGTTTAGTGATTGAATCTCTAAAATGAGAAGTTATTGTTTGCCATGGCATCTTTATTTCTTCCAGAAAAGTCAGAAATGGCTAATGAAGCTTTTGCTTATAAAAGGTAAATGTTGAATTTATAGGTTTTACTTTAATTTCAAGACCCTTAGTAATTGGAAACTACTTCAATTCATGGTTTATGGTTCAAGCCTCAATCATTATCATGATATTTGTTATTATATGACATAAGCTTAAAATGGTAAAGAAAGGGAGACAGTACAGCATGGGTTGTAAGAGCCAAGCTTTGTAGTCATACATACATGGGTTTGAATCCTAGCTCTAGCATTTTTAGCTGTGTGACCCGTAACAAATTAGCCTCTCGACAGATACTTTATCTGTACAATGGGCCTATAATGGCACCTAGCTTATAGGATTGTTTTTTAAAGGTGATATGTACATAATTCATACCAAAGGTATAATGCCTTATACATACTAAGCTTTCATGTTTAAAATGAACACAAACACACTGAAGGCTAGAGTTGTGAAATTGTCATGGTCAGTTCACAAAAGGTAAAAATAAATCTTTTCATTCAGTTAAGTGCAATTTCTAGGACACCATCCTGTTGTCACAGTACTTGATCACAAGCTTCTGCGTTTGGCAACAGCTCTGATACAGGTCAGAGTCTCAGTTGTTCAATGAGTATTTATTGACCATCTAATAGGTCTGGGGCTCCATGCCCGGTGAGGGTGAGCCAACAGACAGTGCAACCAGTAAAGTCTTCAGGAGGTGGAAGAAGGGCCTGGAATGTTACTCTGCCTGTCAGAATGTTGTTTGAATAATAACATCCAAACCCATGTATGTTGTTATTACTAGGTATGAGATCTTGGCCAAGTTACAATCAAGCTTTGAGGCCAAAGTCAGAGTGAACTGAGTTGAGCACTTGGATAGGCAGAGAGGAGATGGAAATTCATTCAGGGAGTGAACTAATACTTACTGAGCATCTGGGCCTTCTGCAGTGAACAAAAAAGGTGCTGTTCTTTTAGGACAGTTCTCAGGGGGCAGTAGAGCCGAGTTCATAGAACAGATTCTCAAGCCAGATTTCTTGCGTTCTAATTTTAGCTCCACAAATCCTAGATATGGGACTGGCAAGTTACTTAATCTTTCTGCACCTAGTTTCCTCATCTGTAAAAAAAAAAATTGTGAACATTACATGAATTCATATGGAAAAATTTCTTAGAACAGTGGTCGATATGCAGGAACTGCCATTTAAATGTTATTAATTTATATTATATTCTATTTGGAACACAATACAAGCAGTGAAGTAAAGCAGGATGAGGAGTTAGAAAGCATCAGCTTGTGGATAGGGTGTATGACTTGGATTTGGGAGTAAGTCTTCCATTTTGAAAGATTTCATCTTCTAGATGAAAGTGAACTTTAAACATACTCATGTATATGCCTGATATGTATCGTGATTTAAAAAACAGGAATGGCCGGGCATGATGGCTCACACCTATAATCCCAGCACTTTGGGAGGCCGAGGTGGGTGGATCACTTGAAGTCAGGAGTTTGAAACCAGCCTGGCCAACGAAGTAAAACCCCATCTCTACTAAAAATACAAAATTAGCCAGGCTTGGTGACACATGCTGGTAATCTCAGCTACTCCAGAGGCCAGGAGAATCGCTTGAACCTGGGAAGCAGAAGTTGCAGTGAGCTGAGATTGTACCATTGCACTACAGCCTGCTCAACAGAGCGAGGCTTCGTCTCAAAACCAATAAGAACAACAAAAACAACCCTCTCCTACCAAAAAATAAAAAACCCAGGAATATGAGCACTGGATAAAATACACAATTTTTCATTTGGTAAAATAATTACTTGTACTTATCTATAGGTCAGACTCCCTCATCTCAGCTAAAATCTGCCATAGTCGTAATAAAAGTCAGTCCTTAAGTCCATAGAGTCGGCATCAATGCAAAGCTTATTAAATCTCATGTTAGAAATAGTTATAATAGACATAAATTCTAGCTTCAAAGCAGTCAGCAGAATCAAGGTGACAAAATGACAATTGATTGGCTCATGTCTACAAAAGATACCTTACCCCTCCTGTAAAAATTAAAGTAAAAACTACAAACAGGACAGATAAAGGACAGCAGCCATAACACTGACCTTGGGCCATCCTGAAAGTTGCACAGTATTTTACAAAAGACAGGGATTTGTTAATATGAAAAAAAGCATGAATAAAGTAATATTTGTTTATGAAAGAAGTCAATATTTGTCTAGAAAATTCACTTAGGTGAAGAGAGAGCTGGATAAATGCCACCAAGAGAGTTAGTACTGCATTAGATTAACAGGAAGGGTTCTGCCTGGCTTCAAATCTCTGCTCTGCCATTTACTAGCTGTGGGACCTTGCTTGGCAAATGAATGAACCTCACTGGGCCTCATTTCCATCATATGTAAATTAGGGACAGTAAGGGTGGCTATCTTACAGATTCATTAGGAGTATTACATTAGGTAAGGTATGGAAAGCACTTAGAACAGTGCTGCCACAAGGTAACCACCATGTAAACGTTTGCTCTTAGTGACTGTTGGTATTACTAGGTATGAGATCTTGGCCGAGATACTGGACATTTTAGTGCCTCAGTTTCTTCATCTGTAAGTTGGAGATATAATACTACTCAGAGGGTTGTTTTGAAGATTAAATGAATATACTAATGTGCTTGTAAGAATAAGCCTTATTAGGTTTTTAAAAATTAAAATGAAAACTATTTGTGACATTGAATTTAAACCCTATTTTAAATTTTATCTCTAGTATTTTTTTATTAACGAGTCAAAATCAATGAATATGGACAGATGATTTAAAATAAATACATGGCCGGGTATGGTGGCTCACGCTGGTAATCCCAGCACTTTGGGAGGCCGAGGCAGGTGGATCAGCTGAGGTCAGGAGTTCAAGACCAGTCTGGCCAACATGGTGAAACCCTATCTCTACTAAAAATACCAAAAGAAAAGAAAAAAAAAAAAAAGAGCCAGGCACAGTGGCTCATGCCTGTAATCCCAGCACTTTGGGAGGATGAGGCAAGTGGATCATGAGGTCAGGAGTTCAAGACCAGCCTGATCAATATAGTGAAACCCCATCTCTACTAAAAAATACAAAAATTAGCCAGACATGGTGGAGCACACCTATAATCCCAGCTACTCAGGAGGCTGAGGCAGGAGATCACTTGAACCTGGGAGGTGGAGGTTGCAGTGAGCTGAGATCATACCACTGCACTCTAGCCTGGGTGACAAAGCAAAACTCCATCTCAAAAAAAAAAAAAAAAAATTAGCCTAGCGTGGTGATGGGTGCCTGCAATTCCAGCTATTCGGAAGGCTAAGGCAGGAGAATTGCTTGAACCTGAAAGGCGGAGGTTGCAGTGAGCCGACATGATGCCACTGCACTCCAGCCTAGGCGACAAAAGTGAAACTA